CAGAGCGGCAGGCAAGCTGCGAGCTGCCCCCTCGCAGGTAAGGTCTAGTTAGCAGAAGAAACCCCAGAGGGATGCACCATCTGCTTTCTGACCTCTGGTCTCAGTTTTCTTAGTAGGAGAATGGGGTAGTGTTTGGAATCGATGGTTGTCAACACAAGCAGAGTAACAAATGGCCTTCAGACCAGGAGGAAGGGTGGGACAGGAGAGGGGAAACAGCTGACATGATTTCATTATTAACTTTTAAGACTTATCCTCCCCTAACTCAGCACACAACCTATCAAGACTACAGTTTTGCATTTCCCCTTGGAAAGGACAAAAAGAAATCAATCCTGTTTTTAATTTTAAAAATTCTAGTTGGAGGGCTGGGGATTTAGCTTAGTGGTGTAAGTACCTGCCTAGCAAACACAAGGTTATGAGTTCGATCTCCGGTACAAAAAAAAAGTCAAAATTCTAATTGGACATGGGTGGTGCACACCTGTAATCCCAGCACTCTGAGAGGCTGAGGCAGGTAGATACAGCAAATTCCATCCCTGTCTGGGCAACTCAGTGACTTAGCAAGACTACATCTCAAAATAAAAGATAAAAAAGACTGGGGATGCACTCAGTGGAAAGGGCCTAGGTTCAGCACCCGACAAGGAGGGGGCCATTTCTTCCTCCATTCTTTCATTAGTATTCTGTGTTTGTGACAGGCAAACCCCAGGGTCCCTGGCCTGCTTCTGGGGACTCCTGCACTTGCTGGCCCTGCCATCGCCCAGCCGCTCAGCCTCTGCTCTTCCAGCTCAGCCTTCCCGTCCTCCTGGCACTTGATGCTAAGCCTCCTGGTCCAGCGAGCTCGTTCCTGTGACCTCGCTTCCCACTGACTCTGTAGACCTCCTCTCCTCTCCCAGCTCCCGCACACAGTGTGAAAGCTGCTCATCCTCCTCTCCGGTACCAAGAGGAGATCCCAGGAGGCTGCATCGGACATGCACTCCCTGCTGCCCTTCCTCCCTTCCTAAGGACGCAGGGTTCGCCTTCTTTTAGTTAGTGTACATTTATTCCTTTGTCTGCCTGCTGCCAGCTTCGAAATGACCTCTGGCTCAGAAATGATCTCCTTTTCTAGAGCCTTTCAGGAATGAAAATCCCCCTACTATTTGAATATTCAGCATAATTACAACATATTTTGAAAACAATGAAAAGCAAATATTTTGGAAACTCACCGGTGTCCCCCCACCAATGCTGTGGTGATTATTATTAAGTTGGTAGATAGCAAACTAAATGAATGATTTAAAGGTGCATAAACCATCAGATAAGTACCCAATTGTATGAAACGAAAGTCAAAAGATATTTAACTATGAGGACAGAGGTGACTCTGGAACACCAAGACCTGGTGGGTTTCACAAAAGGCTATGGAGGGCATTTATCCTGTCTTCACTGCTAGAGAGGGAAGAACATCTTCTTGGTTCAACTCACTTAATTTTTGTTTCCCTTATTTAGAAAGCCAAAACACAGACCGAATTCCAAAATATCCTAGATCTCAAGGACTGCCATCCCAAAGTTTAGTGCCTGAATACGTTTGTCAGAAGTTTCGAGGAGGTGATCTGTGTGTCATGAGAAGGAAGTTTGTGCTATTTTTAAATTGATTTAATACATCACTGAAGCATATCATACACATATCATACCAGTGACACACAGGCAGCATTGTAACATAGCATGTGTCATACATACATTCTCTCTCACTCATACACACACACTTACTCTTCTTGTCTGACTTTTAAAAACGAAGGCAGCCAAAAAGCCAAGCCCAGGGATCCGAGCTGTAAAGGCTGTTAAAGTTGCAAGCTCAAGTGGCCCTCTGGTTCTCAGCCTGGCTTTGAGACACGTGGGAGGGCTTCAAAGCCACAGTGCCCCTCTTTTAGGCTCAGGCTTACAGTTGGTCCCCAAATGTTTATGAGCATGAAGATGCCTAACTTACAGGAAGTAGGAAATGGGCGTGGGGGTGATGGTGGGTGGGTGGGATGGAGTGGGGAGCCGAGGGTGGGGTGTTCTCTTGATGTGGTTAGCCTGTCATTGACCTTGTTTGGCTATTGCAGGAGTTGAATTAGAAAATGAAAACACATTTCATCTTGAGCATGTTTCATCCCATTTTTTACTTTCTTTAGGAAAAAAAATTTCCCCCAAGTAGAGTCAGTTCTACAGACTTGGGGCTCAATTTCCTTTCATTCTACAACAGTCCTTTTCCCCATCCAGTCCTCTGGCCGCCTGCGCTGCAATTCCCAACCCACCCGCGGACAGAAGTTAAAAAAAAAAAAACTGGCCCAGTAGTTGAAACTGAGTTAACACTGGCTCGTTGAGCTGTTGTGATGATGCCATCAAAGGAATTTGATCAGGTCTTCTGAAAACAGAGCCATTTGAATCACCGTGATTTGCTGCAAAGACTCTTACTGAGAGAACTCTGCTTGAGAAATGCTGATTAATAAAGATAACTGAAGGGTGTGTGTATTCTAACAGGAGGAGACAGTAAAGTAGGACTGCACTGTACTAAGTTATTGCTTAGAAACTAGTGTTTTGAGCTGCAGATTCCAGACAGAGGCAGCATCAGAGCACAGCCACACACGTTCCCTGGCTTGCAGCGGCCTTTCTAAACGGACAGGTGAAGGGGCAGAGGGCTGTCCACTTCTGCCCCTTACCGTGTGTGCTGGAGAGTAATTTTTTTTTTTTTTTTTGTACTGAGGATCAAACTCATGACCTTGCGCTTGCCAGATAGGTGCTTGTGCCTTCAAGCTAAATCCTCAGCCCATGTGTCCTTCATTTTTAATTACATTATTTTAATTGTGATAATCCTCAACCTTGATCACTGTAGTCATAATCAAAAGTTAGCTTGGAGGTTTGTTTGTTTGTTTGTGTGGGGGCTTTTATTTTTGCCTATCATGCTGAGACCAGAATCAAAGGATACTATTGAAGGATATTATTATTCCAACATTCTGGCTCAAAATCTACTTTCCTTAAAGCTCCACTCGTGGTCCTGTCCAGCTCAGCTGGAACACCTGGAACTAATTTTAGGGTTGCCTGGCTAAGCCCCACACTGGTATTTGATGTTGCGTCCTCCTTAGACTCAAGCCCATTTCACCACCTCTGAAGGTGAGTGCAGGCTGATACTAATTAACAGTGAGTTGATTCACCAGCATCTTCCAGTCATTAAAGCAAGTATTTGACTCAAAATAGCCCTCTTCCTACCTCCAATCTCAGCTTTCTGCCTGCCTCCTCACTCCGTCAAGGTTGAGTCATGAGCACTTCTGTGGTCTCCGTGGCTCAAGAACAGAGGAGGACTCTGCGGGGAAGGGAAAGGCAGCTAACCTGCAGAGAGGCAGGGAACAGCAGGCAGCTCCAGCGTGACTACATTGTTTTTCTGTCCATTGTGGCACTGACTCAGCATCGGCTAATAAACCCTCCCTCCGGAGAAGGCTGGATTTCTCCTGTTTAATTATCATCTTGGAGTCCTCTGTGGGCTCTTAGGAATTGTTCACTCGGTTTTATACCCCTAGCACATTAGCCAGCTGAAAGTCGCCTTTCCTCTAGCGTCTCCTCTGGCACAGCATGCAATGACAGGTGGTCCAGCCTCCCGCAGGGAGAGTGTGCTGCTCATGTCCCCTAGTGGGAATTCAATAGTTCTGTACTACAGACACTGGAGGACCTTCTGGCACTTTCTATTACATCCTACCTCCCCCCCAAAAAAAATTCTAGAAAAGTTTCCTGAAAGAAAATTTAAAGATAAACAGACCTATCTTTATGATTGAGCTCGGCTTTTGCTTTGCTTTGTTTCGTCTCTACCTGTAAACAAATAACTCGTGTCCACTTCATTGTATGACTAAGTTGGTATCATTAGGTTGGGGCTGGGTGTGTGTACGTGGAGGTGTGTGTGTATGCGGGTGGGTGTGTATGCACACGTGTATTTAAAGTACAGTACTAGAAAAGACAGCAGACTAAGGTCATGGAGAGATGAATTAAAAAAAAAAAAAAAGCCCTACCTCTGGTGAGACCAGCAGGAAAGTGGAAGCCTTGTATTTCAGCGAGCTAAACAGTAATTGTAATGGGGCGCCCGCTATAAATGGACACTTTGAATCATTGTTTCTCTGAATTAGAGGATTCCTTGCTGAAGGCACAAGACCATTGAAGGAAGTAAAGCATCTGGTTTGTTTTGTAATGAGAAGCAGGAATGCAAGGTCCACGCTCTTAATAATAAACAAACAGGACATTGTATGCCATCATCACAGGATGTCCTTCCTTCGGCGGAGGACTGGGGCTGGAGGAAGAGCCGCACTAATTACCGCCTCCAACCCCTTTCCCTTTGCGTGGTCGGCCAGCAGCCCCCTTCAGGCGAGCAGACCCCTGCCCTGCGTTTTACTTCCATTCTTCAGGAGACTGCTCAGGGTTGGAGGAGGACAGGCAAAGAACCTAAACAAAACAAAACAAAAAAAAATCTGGAGGATTAACACTTTTCCCCCATTCGCCCGTTTAGCGACCAGCTTCAAGAAGGAAGTATGCGCTAGCAAATTTGAATGTATGCAGTTAGCAGGAGAAAGGAAATTTTACAGTTGGGGTGGTGTTGGCGTTATTTCACGGACGATCACTCGGGCACGAGACGGCCACCGCGCACTGCGTGGGCTGCGGAGCCGCTCGGCTGGCCCTCCGCACTGAGGCCTGTGCCCGCACCGGCCCTGGGTTCGGGGAGGGCCGCGCCAGGCCTCGGTCCCCTCGGGGCCTCCGGAGCGTGCGCCCCCGTCCGCCGCCCAGGAAGCGGGCGATCGGGCGCTCAGCATACAATGCGCGGGCCGGCGGCCGGCCGAGTGGGAAGGAGCCGGCCGCGCGTGTCGCAATCGCCGGCGGGAGGGAGGGAGGGAGGGAGGCCGGGAAAAGCCCTGGCCGCGCGCGCCCGGCAGGTAGTGGCCACGCCCCCGGCCGGCGGGTGAATCAGACGCGCGGCTCATTAGCGCGGGGCGGCCGCGGGGAGGGGAGAGAGCCGCCGCGCGGGGGACCCAGACGCTGCTGCGGCGCTCGGCCGCCAGTACCGCCGAGCCGCAAGGGCTGCAGCACCTGTCGGCGCGCCGGGGACCGGGAGCCCGCGCCGGGCGGCGGCGGCCAGCAGGGAGCGGAGCGCGGCGGCGCGGCTCAGCCTCCGGGGGCGCGGAGAATGCGGACGGGGTCGGGATGAGCCGGCCCGCCGCGGAGGTTGGGGCTCTGCTCGGAAAAGCGCGCGGGGACGACCTCGGTAAGGAGCGCGGCTGCCTTTGGGTTTCTAGGGTGACTTTTTTTTTTTTAATGGACCTGAAAACTTTTTCTTTCCTTTTACTCTTTTTCTTCCCCTTTGATGTAGTGGCGGTAGAAACAAGAAATGCTTCTACTTTCTTGCATTTACTGCTGTCCGGCTTCTATAAGACTTTTTCCGTGTGAATCATTAACCCTTTACATTCGAGAAGGAATTGTCAGTACATTGAATTTCCGCAGAGGGTCCTGCCCCTACCCCCCACCCTCCGACGAAGAAAGTAACTACTCCGGCTTAACTTAAATTTTCAATTTTAGTTTATTTTAACATCTGGGAGGCATCATGACTACACGTTGGAAATAAACTAGTTTAAGTGGTCATTAGGATAAAGACAATTTTGAATTTCGCTTTTTTTTAAACAAAAACCATATCTGAAAATACAAACCTCCTTGAAAGAGACTCCCTTGATCTGTTTATATTTTAAGAAGCTCACGTTCTTCTGTGGAAATGGTACCCTTATTTGTACTCTGTCAAACACCTTAAGTGCGAATACATTGCAGAGTGTGTACTCTTCTCTCGGGAAAGCACCTTTCCTGCGTGTGACGGTAGATTTTTCAGGAACACCCCAACTTCAGTGGAATCAGCGCTTGCTCCCTTGAGTCCTCTAAGTTTGTTATAACTTTAGTTACAGTAAACTGCAGCACACCAGTGGCTTCTGGGAATCCGCACACTTTCAGATTTAAATGGAAAGTGCTATTTGTAGCTGAGGGCTCCTCAAGGAATTCTCCTCAGGGATTTCTACTGAGTGGTTTTATGTTTGGATTTTGCCTTTTCAGTTTGGCGTGCAGTGCCCCCGATCAAAACAAACTGCAGGGTGTTTCCCCCTTTACCCATTTTTCTGCCTCTTTTCCGCCTCTTTTCCTGTGGTCTGAAAGATCTCAGAAAGGGTGCAGCTCAGTGATGCTAGCAGGATGCATCCCTTTTCATCTTCCAGAGCGAGGATGAAAGGGCAGGCGGGTGGGGGGCAGTTGTTTTGAAAGTTGTTTTGTGTGGGAGCTGGTGGGAAAGCTTGGTCTTCCCCATTTGGAAAAGGCAGGCTGGGTTCCGCCGCTGCACCACACCACACGCGCTTTCCATTTTTAGCTTCATTCAGAAGCAGACAGAACTCCTTCCTCTTCCTCTCCTTGTTTGTGACACTTTTCTGAGGCAGCTTTTCCACAGCGCCGAGGGTCTGGAGGCCGTGACCCCAGGCACTCTGGGACACAGGACGTGGCCCACAACAGCTTTCTGTCCTGAGAGCTAAAACCAGGGTAGCTCAGAGGTGTTTCTTCTCCGCTTTTCTCCCAGTGAGGTTGCCACGCTTTTTTTTTTAAACTTCAGAGTAGTATTTTAAAGCTGGAGATAAAGGCATCTACTTCATACGCGTTTGGGCTCTTACTCAACTGTGCCCAGCACTGCCCATCTGCTTTTCAAGTCTGCAGACTGCGGGATTAGTCACAGCCTGCTGGAGTGAGCCAGGGAATGGCAGGACAGTGCGGACTGAAGGCCTCTCCTTCTCTTCCAGGCTGCCCCCCAGTGTAACCCCAGCTCTGTGAAGGTTCAGGGGTTGGCAGAGGGGACCGAGAAGACCATGAAAATGGACACGGAGGATGCAGATATGACTCAGTTGACAGAGGCTGAGTTTGAAGAGAAATGTACCTACATCGTGCATGACCACCCCTGGGACTCCGGGGCCGATGGAGGGACCTCGGTTCAAGCAGAAGCATCCTTACCTAGGAACCTGCTTTTCAAATATGCCACCAACAAAGAGGTGAGTGAGCCTTGGCTTACTGCGGGGGAAACAGGTTGGCGCCCTGCTTGCCTTCAGAACTTCTCTACAGCCTGTCCTAAGAACTACAACAATCTTCAAATACAAATAATTGATCACCTTCTTCCCTGGCTTTCTCTTTCCCTAAGTCAGTGCTTTCTCATTTCCTCCAGCCTTCAAACTGTTCCATACTAATTAGCAAACAGTTAAATCTTTTGGCAAACTGTGTTTTAGAAAAACAGGCTTGTTAGGTGGGCCATGCTGTCAGTGAGCTTTGGAAAAAACTGCATGTTCTGGCCCTCCGTTCTTTCAAGGGAGGAGACTTTTTCTTAGAAAAAAAATTTTAATGTTTCTTTTGTTTCCATTTGGTCATTAGATGGCTTTATTCTTTTTAACGAGCCAGCTTTATTAGCTGGGTTCCAAAATTATTCTCAAAACCTTGACGTGTTTATGAACTGAAGTGATGGCATAAATTGAGAAGAGGGTCATGTAAAAGTGTCCTCTGTCCGATGACTTCACCAACCACTGTTTATCCGGGGCAGCTCCTTTGCGCTGGCTGGGTTGGCCAGCTGAGTCCTCATTGGCCTCTGAAGTGGGTACACTCTTTGTTGTTTCAAAGGGGCTGAAATCCTAAACTTGGAATGAGCCGCTGATTTGTGTTTACCCTTTTATAACAATTATAGCGAGGCGTGATGTTTAGCAGTGAATAACTGGCAGAACCACCTCTTGTTTTGAGAATTTGGCTGCTGCAGTTGCTCTCTGGAAGTCACTGCTGGTCGAGGTGAAAGCCATCTACCCCTCAGCAGCTTCCCACCGCCACTGTCAGCTCTGTGCCTTCAGAAAGTGTGAGAAAGGGGCTCATTTGTTCTAAAAGTTCAGGATTTGCTGCTGGGACTATTCTTTACAGCCCTGTCCAGTCACTTTCCTCCTTTCCCTAAGGAAAAGCGTTTGAAGGAATCCGGAGGCTGTTTGGGAAACACTTTGTCTCTTTCCTGTTTGTGTGTCTGAGTTCAATGTTTTTGGTGAGGGGGTAGACACAGCTGTCTAAAATTAAATAGAGCAATTCCGCTTTGAGCTTCATTAAAGTTCAACTATTTTTTTTTCTGCTGGGAGAGCAGTGGCAGATTTTTTAAAAAGGAAAATTTAAATTGTATTTGTACATGAATGTTACCAAAAATTTAACCTCAGAGGTCAGCCTTAATTATACCTCTTCCTGAAAGCAATGCTCTTCTCATAGAAAGTCTCTTTAATATGTGGCTCTCAGTATCAATGTAGCATTTATTTGGGTTCTTAAGGTTTGGCCGTGGCTTTAAAAGGTGTAGTGTGCTTTTTTCCCATATCAGATTTTTGACCAACCATTGGTCTATTCCCAAGGTTCATTTGTGTTAGGTGGTCCATTCAGACCATTGGGACTGAAAGAGAAATCTCCATTCTGTGGGTCATCTGGTTTTTTACTGTATATAATGTTCTTTTCCTTGGTTTACTTGGCTGATGTTTTTCAATTTTCATTGTTCTATAGAAAATCATGGATGATTCCTTATGCTTTTAGATCATTCAGTCCAAGGTTCAGAGAGATAGTCACTTACCCAGAGGCTATAGCTAGCTCCAGATGCAGGACTTGGAGCAAAGTTCTCCTGACTCCTCCAACAAGTGCTTCTGGATTATGTTACATCGGCCCCTCTTGGTGTCACTGTGGTTTTATTTATCGTCTTAACATATTTCAGCCTGATCCTTTATTAAGCTTTTTTTCCCCTTCTAAATGTGTAACTTCCTGTTTCCGTATGTTAAGCGACCAAGATCCTTGAAAACTGACATAGAAGGCAGAGTTCTTAGATCCAGTCCCCATCTATTATTGAACTGAAACTCTCTGAGTAGGAGATACTGCCTCTTAATATATCTAATCACAAAAGCAGCCAGAAAACTGACCTGTCGTGTCCAAGCCTACTCTGAAATTGGTACCTGTTGCCTCTCTTTTTGAACTTTGGGAAAGGACAGCTCCCTTTTGGTGTCGAAAGAGGCTGGTAGAATTGAGCCATTGGTGATATGAAAGCTTACAAAACAGTTCCAGGACAGAAGCATTCCGGATTGATGACATGACCACGCTAGTATTCTTCACTTAGCTCTTTTAGGTGCCACAAGCTGTGGAAATAGGAGGGAACTTTCAGCATGTAGATTTTACCTAGCTGATTTCTCTTGCCCTTTTAAAAATGTTTTCATTTAAAGAATAGAAGACGTGATGTTATGTACTGTTGTGCTGACATACTGGGGATTTTTTTTTTTCACAAGACCATTTTTCATTATGAATTTGTGCTATGTGTCAGCACCTTTTTTTCCCTTAGTTTAAAAACAAAACATACAAACCGTATTTCTGATCTTGACCTTCATTTTTAGATTTAGAATCGTTTTGCACCTTTACTAAGGCTGTTCTTACTTCCTATTTCCAGAATGTAGAACCAAATATAGACATCTTATTCAAAACCTTCTTTAACTGATGGGTTATTCTTTTATGGGGATTTTCCCCCACCCTAAAATATTAATCTATGAATACTTTAGAGAAAAATCAATTTCAACATTAATATTTGAAGCAGCGGTTTGTACCAGTCTCTCCCCTCAGCCAGGTTGCTGCCCCCTGAGGTGCTTGGCTCCTCACTGAGTCTGCCCCGAGTGAAGCTGAGGCTGATCAACATCAGACAGATTGGTGTCTACTCTGACTGAAGTCCATTGTTAACTAAGCAGCCTGTAACTGTGTCCATGCAATTTCCTCCATGAGCTGTTTTGTTTGGGAGATGATGTGCTGTGGAATTACCACCAATATGCAGATAATAAAGAAGGAAACCTTTCCCCCAAAAATCTGTGTTCCATTCACTCCTTTTAGCATCGATGTGTGCGTGTATGGGGGTGTTGGTAAGATCGAAGCCAGGACTTTAAAAGCATGTTAGTTAAGTGCTCTTTCACTGAGCTATCTCCCAGCCCACTCCACTTCTGCTAAAAGTGGGGTGAATTATAGGTTGAAGTCTTAATCCATTATAAAGTTCTAGTCCTCTCGAGGCGAATGTCCTTATAGTCAAAACAGAATTTTAATCGAATGAGTCATTTTTGTGGGACGGGATTCAGGAAGAGGAAAGAGATAGTAGTTATTAAAATGGTTTTAATGCAATTTGAAGTGAGGGTGTTCAGATCACATTCAGATCTGAATGTTTCTGTTTAAAATGCACGGCTCTGTGTGTATCTGCACACCCTCTGAAGGGGCAATTTGCTTTTAAAACAGAAAGACCACTGTCCTTACCCTCAATCAAACTTTGCCGAGCTATCTTGAATTGCAGAATCTCCTTTGCTTTCCAAAAAATGGGGAAGAAGCCTTGGTTTTTCTATGCAGATTGCGTGTATCTGAGTGTATTCCACACCCAGGCCTCTGACAGAGACAGGTGTGCCCAGGTGGCAAAGGAATCTGTTCAGCAAATAAAGTGCGCTCGGGTGGGGGCCCATGAAGCATGGCCATGAGGGAGCCCCATGGGTTTATAGAAGCCACATAACAGTAATCCTTTAGGACCCTGGTCAGTTCCACTGAAGTTTCTTTCCTGAGTTACATGGATACATTCTGAATTAGCCATTTTTAGCACTCAGGTCTATGGCACTGCCCGATTCTGTCATGTTGTTTACTCGCTCCAAGGGCAAAACGTTAAAGTGATGGTCAGGGAGTTGATGTTGACTAAAACACACATTTAGGTCTTCCAGAGGGACCACTATGGCTTGTTTTAATTCAGGCTCCTATCCCCACTGGAGTTGCCTTGCCAAGTACCATAAAAATTGTAACTTTTACATTCTCTTTGAATAATATCTCAGACATCAATTTAGAAAGTGTTTATTGTGGATTTATTAGAGTGTGGTACTTGGACTATATACAAGGGTCATAAGCACAGGAAGGCTTAAACTTCAAAATTCTGTGATTTAGGGCTCTGTTCATCTCAAGATGTTGGTTTATACCCTGCAGCTCTGTACCTAGTAGGAGTTTCAGGTTCTGTTTCGTTGCCTAGGCCAATCCATAGTTGTGCTTAGTAGGTGTTAGATGGCTCATGACTTCTCCAGGTTCCCTTGTTGTAGAGACAGGATTCTAGCTGACTTCTTGGCCACAAGAAAATATGTGTTCCCTTAGTGTAAAATTAGTGACCAAAGATTAAGGCCATTCTGTAGAAGAATGGCAATTGACAGGAAGACCATGACCTTGATGTCCTACTCCGTGCTGGTAATCAAGCTCTGACTCCCAAGACACTGTCTGCAGGAGACTATAATTTTAACAAAGTTGATGGACCAGTTGAGTACCTTTCTTAAAATTACTGCTTTAAGGTGGATGTGTTGAAAATATCAACTACTAATTATTGGCTCACCAACAAATCGTCTATTTGTTTTTCCTGTTTGTCATTTTAATATTATGAGATATTAAATACTGATATGTAGTTATTTTGTGTCAATTCCATGAGTTTTCCAAATTAGGTTCATTAATATGTCCAAGGCAGTGTGCCCCTAAATAATCGCCTATTTAAGCTTTAAATATTGTATCTTGAGATTTCTCTTAAGGTGCTCTGTCCACAGTTGTCGTACTGCTGAAATGTACCAATAATAAACTCTTCGGGAGATATAAATGAAGGCAGAGGAAGAGAACATCATCTTATTTCTTTCAGCTCTTTGCCAGAAACTTACAAAGAACCAAAAATAACACTGTAGCTCACCGACCTTGTTTCAACTTTTAAATTAGGGTAGGAATTTTTTTTCCCTTTTCAGTCTGAGCTGTTCCATTCAGTTGTACATTGAATGCTAAACTATTTCTGAAAAAAATCGTTTGCTGATAAGAAACTTATATAGGGGCTGGGGATTTAGCTCAACGGCATAAGCACCTGCCTTGCAAGCAGGCGGTCATGAGTTTGATCCCTGGTACCGATAAAAATGAAAAAGACAAAAAAAAAGAAACATATATAAGATTAGTCTGGCACAACCATATAGGTGTGCATTATTGCATATCTATTTACACAGCAGTTACATTCCTGATGAGATGCACGGCAATAATTGTGTTCTGTGTATCATAACCAGAGCCTTAGATTCCACTGTGAACATTTGTTGACTCACAGATTTGCACTTGCTCTTTGAGGTGTACATTTACACAAGAATAAGACCAGGATAGTAAAAACTGGAAATGAACACTGACCTTTTTAACCCCCTCCCATACTTTGGTCCATTTCTGTAAGGTATTTACTAAGTAATTTGTAGACTGGACTACTCAGAGAGTTCTTTTGAATAGTGATGCACTACTTCCTGATTCGTGATTGGTGATTTTATTTTTTTAAGCCATGCAAGAGACATTTACGATCAAGGAGGAACTGACATAGTTAACGTGTTTGTTTAGCCCTGCAAAATCAAAATGCATGATGCAGTATAAGAAAGTCATTTCCTCAGATCTTAGAACCCACAGGCTCTTAGAACCCCCAGCTCGCCTCAGTATAAATTCCATTTCAAAGGAGGCCTTTTGACCACAGCCGACTAGAAGACCCTAGAGAGGACTGAAGTTCCTCTCCTATTAAAGAAAACTTACAAGCAGTGGGCATCAGGGTGGGACTCATCCAAAATGAAAAAAAGCGGTTTTGGGTTCCCTCAGTCTTTGTGGAACAACTAAAGGCATTATTTTGGTTTCTGAGATTAAAACTATTTGATTCCCCTCAAGTACACTATGTTTATGGTTTGAGGGAGAATGAGAAATAGGAAGCTGAAATGGCCTAATCTTAACCATTAACTCTGCAGTTTTATTCTTTTAAAACAGAATATTTATCCTCTGACAAACATGAAAAATAACAAAAGTAAAGAACCCTCAGTCATAATTCTCTAGACTGTTTCAATGCTTGGTTGAGTATCTGCTTCTCGTGAGCCTAGCCTTTCAGGTATTCTTCCTTAAAGGTGAAATTTGCTGTTAATTATGTGAGCATCTTACTGTGGCTCTACATTGTTGATTGTATGACCGCTTGAGGACTCAGTTCACTGAGATAACATTGGTTCACACTTCACAGTAAAAGTAATTGGTGTATATGTTTTACCCATTTTAGGTTATTGGCGTGACGAGTAAAGAATATATACCAAAGGGAACACGATTTGGTCCCCTAATAGGTGAAATCTACACCAGTGATACAGTTCCCAAGAATGCCAACAGGAATTATTTTTGGCGGGTAAGTCAGGAAAAACTTTCTTGAAACTCTCAGTATTGGGAAACATTGGAGCTAGATGAAACAAGGTTGTTTTCTTTATCAACCCGTGCCGAGAAACTCTGGGATTCACCGAAATGGCTCACTGACAAGTATTCAGGGTCCCATGGAAACAGAGAATTCTGAGCAAGTATGATAAAACTGCTGAATGTTCATCCCAGGAAATACAGTTTGTAGGTCATTAGTGACTAGAGCGGTGGCCAATAGGTGAGTCTTATTTTTTGCAACTCATTAGAGCTTTGTGAGGAGAGGAAACAGTTTGTTACTTGCTTCAAGGGTGGTAGGTTTATTTGCATTTCTCTGCAAGGAAGTAGTAATGAGTCACTAAGCCTCACATTTCACCTCTTCTTGATTTCTTGCTGAGTTAACTTTAATTGAATGGAAGAGTTCTCATAAATGGACTGTCTTGAAAAGAAATGTGATTGAGGAAGGGTGGTGGAACATGGGCTAGGGAAACCGAGAGGGACCACAGGGCTGGTCTTCCTTAAATCTATCTGTATCATAAAACTATTAAATTTGACAGTATGTAAGTTACTCCCATAGTATAAGGAAATAGTTACCATCATTCCAAATGAGCAGCTTTCCTATAACATCCAGCCAGAAGATCTGACCTGAAGAATCTCCTCTTCCAAGCTAAAGAGAAGAGCTATAGATTCACTACTAAGTGTGTGCTCTCTATTTAATGTTACATAATCATGCTTAAAATGCATCCATTCCGTGATTTACAATGGAAAAGTATTGCAAATAAATACTTCTTATACGAGAGCCGCAGAGGTACAATAACCTAGGAGTCCAATGTCTGAACTATGACAGTCCAGTGTATGTCTCAACGAGTATGTTGTCACTTGGAAAAAAAGGATCCGAAGCTCCTAATCTCTCATCACTGTCCGAGGTCCCTGTTGCATTTAATGATTCATTATAAGTAACTGAAAGACTTCCCTTGAGGATTTCTTTGAATCAGCTGTCATTCCTGTGCAGAGGGTATTGTGGGAGATAACTTCTCACGTATTATTGAACACATCCTGATTTTGCTGGCAGACGTATGAACATCTGTTGTGAGGAAAGAAAAGGTCTCATGAAAGTTACACAGGCAAAGGGGAGGGATGTTCCAGTTGAGAAACCAGTGACATTTCTTGTAACTGTACTGTGAGTCAGCATGTTTTATTCTTCTTGATAATAGATGGAAATGCAGTGCGGTGATAGCAGCAGCGTTCATTTTACACATGCATTGTTTTATTTTCTTGTGGGTGTGTGAATGACTTCATGGCATCGGAGGGTTCTGTTTTTAAACGAGGATACAGTAAACTGTAGCCTGTGGAAAGCGGATTGGAATCAACATACCCGCACCTTTAGAAAGCAGTTTCCGCCTGCCGCACAAAGAGCATCAGAGTGATGGAACCCCGTGTTCCTGGAAGTTTGCACATCAGAGTAAACAAACTTGAAAACCCCTCTTGATAGCTGAATTCACCCAGCCTCGTTCCATTTTCTCTTAACAAAACACACCGCAAAAGCTCTCACAAGCTGCTTTGATGAAGCCACATGTATTTCCCCCTTCACAATTTACAGGAAGTTACTCTTAAAAGAAAGTGATTCTGGTGTTTACTGCCTGTGTTAAAGGGACAGAGTTCCTTTTTATTTCTGATAACGTTTGAAATTCAGAAGCAACTTGTAGACTAATACAGGCATGAGTGACTAAGCAGTAGTAACCTGCTATAGCGAAAGCTCTGCTCTGGACCAGTCCCTCACCTGCACCTGGAGCCGCAGCTGCCCATGACCAGGTACTAATTATGTAGAAGGGAAAAGCTTTAGTCTGGAGAAAAGGTGGTGCATCCTCTTAACAGGAAAGAGAGAGTAAGCTTTCTGCGGAAAATAAGGAGGGCTCACCGCATAGTTGGCGTGTTTTAATTGTTTCTCCTCCTACCTCTGCCTCTTTATCGAGTTCCCTGAGTAAACCTGGGATAGTTAGTTATTTGAGGTTGAACTCAGTTCTCCTTTACGCTCTGCATTTGAAGAATCAAACAGGTTTCTTTGCATTCTCTTTCCAAAACTTCCAAGGCAGGCATTAGTGTCTTAGCCAACCTCCTCCCAGATAAAGGTGATCTCTCTCTCCTCCTCTTTCCTGAAAGAGAAGCACAAGTCTGAACATGTTTATCAAGAGGAAAAGTGACTTCTCAGGACCCAGACTGTCAAGCTCTGGCCTCGCTCCCGGGGTGCACTTTGTTATGGCAGGAGCAGCTCACCTTTGCCCCACCCAGAGTTTCCACAAAAAGGCACGGTTCCAAGTATTTATATGAACAAGTGTTACTTTAGGACTCAAGGGTTGGGGGTGGAGGATGTTTGCATAGTCTAAGCCTTGGGCGGGGGTGTAGGAAACAGCAAGTACAGAGGCCATAGAAAAAGCTGAGCCTCAGTTTGACGTAGTCTGCCGGCCTGATCTCCTGCCCAGTGACTCAAAGCACTAAAAGTCAGCACAATCGGAACTGAAGCTCTAGCAACGCCCATTTGCCAGTCGCTGCCAAAGCAAAGTTAGTACTCTGGTGGTTTCATCAGTTTGAGGCTGCTCCTTACATGCAATTGTGTTTCAGTCTTCTATTCTTTTTCCCTGAACATTAAAAGATGACAAACTGAAATGGAAAAGGTAACTGACGAGAAGGCGCCTGAGCTGTTTCCGCCCTGGTTTCTGCTGACTCAAGACTCCTGTGGCCTAATTGATTTGATTCTTTTCTAGCCAGGCACTAGGGGAGCAGAAATCACACGTTCCATTGGGCTGTGTGTTTTCTGAGAGGCGCTGGGAAAGCTTTTGCGTTGCTCTAGGCAGGCCTCCTTTACACCACGTCTGTCTGTCTTCTCTTCTGGACAGATTTATTCCCGAGGGGAGCTTCACCACTTCATTGATGGCTTTAATGAGGAGAAAAGCAACTGGATGCGCTACGTGAATCCAGCATACTCTGTCCGGGAGCAAAACCTGGTTGCGTGTGGGGAGCAAAACCTGGCTGCGTGTCAGAACGGGATGAACATCTACTTCTACACTATTAAGCCCATCCCTGCCAACCAGGAACTTCTTGTGTGGTATTGTCGGGACTTTGCAGAAAGGCTACAGTACCCTTATCCTGGAGAGCTCACAATGCTTAATCTCAGTAAGTGGATTACAGAACAAAAAATTTTTCAATGCTGGTAATGTCAGTTCTGCCCCTGTGAGCTAATAACATGTTGGTTAATTATATGGCTTCATCATCATCTGTTGCACTAAGTAGGTGGCTTAAACTGGGGACGAGGAAGAGGAAAAAACTTTGAGTCCACCTTCCCTATTAGGAAACTTGACCATTAAAAAATAAACAGAGAGCTGCTTCAAGTATTTAATCCAGAACATTACCAGAAAAAAAAAATGCATTATTATTTACCCAGAAAAGGGAGCAGTTGGGAATACAGTGGAGATTGGTCCAGACATGCCAAGAATGCAGGATATTCCTCTCGGTGGGGTAGTCTGTGGGTGCTTCAAATATAATTTAAATATTGTAGTGATGTACATTTTGACTATTCAGTCACAGTCTGATGTGGAATATTCTAAGACTGTTTCTAGAGAAACTCTGTCATAGCTTTTCAGATATTCTAAATGAATAACCCTAAAGATTTCATATCTTTGCTTCCTTCCTTATGGTAAAACTAATTAATCTGATCTCCTAATCAGTGTTACAGTAACCACCTATCACCTTATCTTGACACATTCTCAGTTCCTTAGGTTTATAAGCTTTTACTTTTTTATTTGGTTAAAATTGCTGTCATGACCTCTCTGAAAAGAGCTCCCTCATTTTAATCATTCTCAAGTGATTTCTATGAACAATTTAAGAATTAATGTGAAATGCTCACCTCAGTGTTAACTATGATTACATGTTTTTGGTTAGCTGGCTTAATTTTACAGCAGTTTTTAAAGTGAATTACTTTCAGGTCAGAAGTTAAAACTAAATGCTGAAAGGTTTAGAATAACTTTTGTCTTCTTGCTGGTCTCTCAGACTTAAAAAATTCCCAGTGTCCTTTACTCAAGACCCATCAGTTTTTACTGTGGTATCACACTTGCTTTATCTGAAGGCTAAATTCTTTTAGTTCACATTTGCACCTTTGAGACCTTCGGGATATTTCCTAATTTTAACATAGGCTGGAATTTTGACTTCGGCTTGAGAACAGGTTAACAAGCCAGTTATTTATCCAGTCATATGTGACCCAGCCATCCAGCAGTTGGGTGTTCTTTCTGTGCTTGTCAGTTTGCTCCATCCACCTTAGGCTCTGAAAGCTGTATTTATAGCTATCTGAAAATCTGTGGTTCAAGAGATCAGGACCGACCCAGGAGAATCCCATAGGATCGTGTCCAGGCTCCTCCCTCCATACACCCGTAATGTATCCTTATATTTCTGGAAAGATCTTGGGGAATATGAGAACCAACCAAACCAACTTTCTACCCCAGCATCATATGCGCATGCTATGGGTGTCACCCGTCTCACTGAGGCGGGTTAGGGGGTAGGAGATGGTTCTGCTCCTTTGTCTCTCCGAGACTGGCACAGCTCTAGGCCTGAGCACCCCAGGAGCCATTTTGCTGCTCCAGCCTCTGTGAGTGCCCAGCCCATCACTAAGGGCTTGGTGGTGACAGGCACACAGGCACAATCAAGTTTCTGTGGAACTCCCATTTGATCAGGGTGTCATAGAAAGAGGCACCGCTTCCCCTAACTTCTCAACCCAGCATGCGCTTCCTCAGGAAGGTCTCCTTACATGCCTGGAATTTAATCATTTATTCAAGTATTTATTCTTGGTCTCCAAAAGCAATTTTCATATCTAGTTTGAAGTGACACTTTTGTTTCTTCATCTTGTTCCATAGCACCTTTTATTTGTGCAGAATTTTTTTCTAAATGGTAGCTTAGCTTTTTCAGGTACCTTTTCATTATCTAGTATTCATGATTTTAAAAAACAAAAGAGCTAACAATAACCCGTACAGGACGTCTGCTGCTGATTGTGAAACCAGTTGTCTTAGGTGTGGCAACTGATGATTGAGACTCTGATCAGGAAAATTTCCACTATTTCATCAGGCCTAAGAGGCAGATTGTGCCTTCATATAAGTAAGTTGTGTTGTTGGCTGGCTGTGTTTACAGCATAGTAGAGACTTGTGCCCAAGTCTGAAGAGCTCTGTGTCAGTTTGGGTCCATCGACAGAACTGAAGGGAAGGGACGGGAGGCAGACTCAGTTCAAGAAAAGTAAGTGGCTAGAAATCACAAATGGAATTTTTTTAAATAAAAAAAACAGAGTTAAAGAACTATATAAGCCCCTACCCCTCCTTTTTTTTGCTATCTATCTAACCCATCTAGAAAACAGTTGACCAAATTATAGACTTCTCAGTGTTAATCTGCTTTCTCAGTTTCAGTTGAAAACAGACTTTGTTTTGCCTACTGCAGAACTTCTAGGTTCTCTCTGGTAGTCTTGGGATCTTATTATAGATCGAAAATGTGAGTCGGCATAATTAAGCCATTCAGAGCCTTCAGCAGCAGTTCACTCTTGAAATGACTCCATCCGCCTACAGCCATTTAAGATTTAAGAACAAAAACAGATCTTGATTTTCTTTTTCATGTTAACTCAAGCTGCCACTGAGTGGGAGAGTCAGAAATGACACTAGCTTCCCTGATTACTCAGCTGCTACAGGACAATCTTTTAAAAATGATCTTTGTATAAACTCCATAACCTTTACCTGTAGAACATTTTAGAGAAGCTAATGTTTTACACTGACGCTCTTTTAGAATAAAGTACAGAACTTTTTCCGAAGCTCTCAGAGGTAGCAAATGTGTATTGTGGATTTGACCAGGTGCTGTTGCATAAGCAATCTAAAATTTACTTTTTATTGACCCAATTGTTAGCTTTGTATCACTTCTTAGCTGAATAATGTGCTTTAAAAAGCAAGGCTAAAAAAGGACAACAGCCTTGTGCCTAGGCTTAAAACGTACACTTATGGCTCTCATTTGTTGAATTTTAGGGACGCAGACTATTGAACCAATGAAGAGATTTAGATGTAGATTTCCACATAAAATGACACAAAATGATGGCCGAAGGCTCTTGTTTCTCGGTGGTGTCTTTTTCTTTTCCACCTGAGCGTGCTTCTAAACACCCCCCCCCCCATGAAATTCCTCCCTGTGGTCCTAAAATGTTCTGCCTTTCAGGTTTCAGCTTAGGGGTCTTTCTTTTCCTTTACCATTTCAGTTTAAAAAACAAAAGTGACAATTTGAACTTCCTGCCTGCTGGGCCTCACTGAAAGACTGATACTGGCCTGATAAGGGGGTATTTATTTTGGTTTAGTGGCTTCAAAAATCTCTCCCTCCACAAGCTTTCCATCACTGGCCCATCAGCATCTTCCCTGAGAGTGTTGCTCCAGTGTTTATTCTGGGACTTCTGGCTCGCCCAGGAGTAGCTGATAACAGCCAGCAGGAGATAACATTCTCTGAGGGGCTCTCCAGCTGGAATTGAATCCCTCCAGCCTGTCAGCCTGGATAATGAATTTGAAAGGTTTATTCTGGAGTTCTGCACGCTTCATCTCTGGACCTGTCAAGTGACAAGTCTGGAGTCCTTTCTCAGTTGAGCCAAGCAGGGATGTCCTTGTGCACAGGGTCCCCTCGGACCCTTCCACATCCTCCGGGGCTCAGGCTGTTCCAGGCATCCTCACACCAAGTGGCCAGTACTGTCCGCATCCTGAGTGAGGAAGGTGTGCTGGCCTGAGTGACCACCCTCCAGGTGTCCCCACAGGCTTCCTTTGCTCTGTGACAGGCCTGCAGTGACCTGGAGAGTCTGGAACTGCCCCCAGTGCTCCTGTTCCTAAACAGTCTGTTTACCAAGTGAGAGATGCTGTCTTTAGGAAGCAGTGCTTCCCTGTTGGCTGTTTTGTGAGTCGGCATATGTTTTCTTTAGTGCTGTCAGTAATTGAACTGGCGCAGGGAATACCTGTTGTGGTTTGGCAGAAGTGACTGTCAGGCCTCGTGAGTCCAAGGGACAGCGTTTTCTGGGAGCCTGGTTAGACAAGAACCGTGGTGACATGTTTGTGCTCCCCACCTCCCTATCAGGCATAAAGGCTGGCTTCCATATCCATAATCTGTTTGGCACAGGTGGTTTGAACAGGGCTTCATCAAATTCATATTTAATGAGAATCAAGTTGAAAATGATGACTGTTTAGTACTTGAGATGAGCCGTAATCTTTCAGAGCCTTTAATCTTTCACATCTAGTTTGCAGGGTGTGCTGATTTCCTTTATGTCAACTGTGAACACCCGAATGACTTACTAACCTGTGACAATCCCCACCCCAGGATTTTTCCACGCTATTTTAACGAATGCTACCTTGTTCTACCCCGAACGGCACCTTTCCGTCCTTTAACTTGCACTAAGGGAAACATGACCATCCAGCTGGCACAGAGTGCTCTGGCTGTGCTGCCGTAGTGGCGGCTCCCTTTTGCTGAGGAGGAAATGCAGCAGCACTCGGCGGGCCGGAGTGGGTGACCCAGAGCCCTGTGAGCGGGAGAGGCCTCAGGAGGCAGGTGCCTGCGGTTTGTGTTGCCAGCGGGTGCTCCGGGCTCTCTAGAGCAGTTTTGTGATGCCCTTCAGTTCTCTGTAGCCCTGAGTGACGGCCCTTTCTTTATTACAGCCCAAACGCAGAACAGCAACCCAAAGCAACCAAGTGCTGAAAAAACTGAGCTCTGTCCAAAGAATGTCCCAAAGAGAGAGTACAGCGTAAAAGAAATCCTGAAATTGGACTCCAACCCCTCCAAAGGGAAGGACTTGTACTGTTCTAACATTTCACCCCTTGCTTCAGAAAAGGACATGGATGACTTCAGGAAAAACCGGAGCCCCGATATGCCCTTTTACCCTCGGGTCGTGTACCCCATCCGGGCCCCTCTGCCAGAAGACTTTTTGAAAGCCTATGGGATGGAGAAGCCGACTTACATCACTCACTCTCCCATTCCGTCCTCCACGACTCCAAGTCCCACAGCACGAAGCAGCCCTGACCAAAGCCTGAAGAGCTGTAGCCCTCATCGGAGCCCAGGGGACACAGTGTCACCACTGACTCCTGGCTCTCAAGACCATCGGGACTCCTACACCTACTTGAATGCCCCCTATAGCACTGAAGGTCTGGGCTCTTACCCCGGATACCCACCCCCTCCCCACCTGCCACCGGCTTTCATCCCCCCGTACAACGCTCACTACCCCAAGTTTCTGCTACCCCCCTACAGCATGAATTGCAATGGCTTGAGTGCGGTGGGTAACGTGAACGGCATCAACAACTTCAGCCTGTTCCCTAGGCTGTACCCGGTGTACGGTAACCTCCTGAGCGGGGGCAGCCTGCCTCACCCCGTCCTCAGCCCAGCTTCATTCCCCAGCTCCCTGCCCTCCGATGGAGCCCGGAGGCTGCTCTCTCCTGAGCATCCCAGGGACGTGTTTGTCCCAGCACTCCGCAGTGCCTTTTCCCCTACCGGGGCAGCCGCCAGCATGAAGGACAAGACGTGTAGCCCCCCGAGCGGGTCTCCAACGGCGGGCACAGCTGCCACGGCAGAGCACGTGGTACAACCCAATGCTACCTCAGCGGTGATGGCCACCCCCAGCAGTGACGAAGCCATGAATCTCATTAAAAACAAAAGAAACATGACTGGCTACAAGACACTGCCCTACCCTCTGAAGAAGCAGAACGGCAAGATTAAGTACGAGTGCAACGTGTGCGCCAAGACTTTCGGCCAGCTCTCAAATCTGAAGGTAGGCGTCTGCAGAACAGCCTGCTGCCCCTGAGACCCATCGTGCGTGTGCTTAGCTCCCTGCCCACAGATCAGAGAGACCTGGCGGGGCCCTGTTAATGTGGGTGCTACTTTGCTTTTGCCACTGCCAGCTCGGGGGCTTTGGACAAGTTGCTTGGACAGCTTACCCAGGGTTTCTTCTGTGTAATAAAAAATGTGGGGTTTGGGCTTAGACAGTCAACAAAAAGTCCCTGGTAGCCAGCAAGTTTTATTCTTTTAGTTCAAGCAAAATGGCATTTTGAAAACCCTGGATCCTTGTTCTCTTTAAAAGACTTTTGTCTTGCAATGCTTTCCTTAAGATGTCTGTGTCAGAAACGCCCGAGTCTCTGAGCAGACCAAGGTCTCGGGCAGCTTGCAGGCAAAGCTAACACGCGCGCCTTCTTCCCAGGTCCACCTGAGAGTCCACAGTGGAGAACGGCCTTTCAAGTGTCAGACTTGCAACAAGGGCTTTACACAGCTTGCCCACCTGCAGAAACACTACCTGGTTCACACGGGAGAGAAGCCACATGAGTGTCAGGTGGGAAGTGTTTTCTGAGTGGAACTTGTCTTTGTAGAAGATGTCTGTGGCGTTGCCTTCTCTTGGCATGTAGCCCTGGTTTAAACTAATGTGGCCGCCCTGCTCGGCTGTGGGCCGCAGGCACTGAGGGGCTGAGTGGTACTTGGTAGCCACCGGTGGGCTGCATTGATGACACAGCCGGCGTCCAGTGCATGGGAAAATGGCAGGAGACATTAACCGCACCTCCTGTGCAGTGTGCCCACGTCCCCTTTTGCTTAATAGCACCCCGTGGGTTGTTGGCAGTTGGCCTGTGGCTTGCTCCTCTTGTGGCAACTCTTAATCTTTTGGTCTTCTGTCTCCCTTCTCGGCCCCACACCACAGGTCTGCCACAAGCGATTTAGCAGCACCAGCAATCTCAAGACCCACCTCCGACTCCACTCAGGAGAGAAACCTTACCAGTGCAAGGTGTGCCCTGCCAAGTTTACCCAGTTTGTGCACCTGAAGCTGCACAAGCGGCTACACACCCGGGAGCGGCCCCACAAGTGTGCCCAGTGCCACAAGAGCTACATCCATCTCTGCAGCCTCAGGGTCCACCTGAAGGGGAACTGCCCTGTGGCCCCCGCCAGTGGGCTGCCCTTGGAGGACTTGACCCGAATCAATGAAGAAATTGAGAAGTTTGACATTAGCGACAATGCTGACCGGCTTGAGGACATGGAGGACAACATTGATGTGACCTCAGTGGTGGAGAAAGAAATTCTGGCCATGGTCAGAAAAGAGAAAGAAGAAAGTGGCCTGAAAGCATCTTTGCAAAGAAACGTGGGGAATGGACTCCTGGCCTCAGGGTGTGGCCTGTATGAGTCATCAGATCTGTCCCTCATAAAGCTGCCTCACAGCAGCCCACTACCTCTGGTGCCTGTCAAGGTCAAGCAAGAGACAGTTGAACCCATGGATCCTTAAGCGTTGCGGGAGACAAGTGTTTAAGTGATGACTTGGCGAGTCAGGGTGCCTGCAGCGAATTGCTGGTGCGTGATTCCAGATCTGCAAAGCTCTTCCCTCCCCCTCTGGAATTGAAGGACTCCAAAGTTACTGAAATCTCAGGGTATAAATGAGACAAAAACTCACTCTCTTGATAAACATATATATATATATATACATATATATACATATTATATATACTTATTTACACCCATGTCTATATATTTGAACCTGTGTATTTTGAATATTTGTGTGGATATGTTTGCATAGCTTTCCCATTACTAAGACTATTGACTAACCATAATTATTTTTTCAATGATAATCCTTCATAATTTATTATACAATTTATCATTCAAAAGGCAATAATTAAGGAAGTTTACAATGACTGGAAAGATTCCTTGTAATTTGAATCCAAGCATATTTCTGTCTTGTGGCCATTCTTTGTAGAAACTTCTGCACATCTTTTTAAGTACCTAAGACTTAGTAGACTGATGCATTATTTCGGTCAGCTTCTCTATAATAATGGTTTGAAGTGAGATTTCGGTATTGCCGAGTCAGGCAGTTGATGTGTTAATTTATAGGACTGTATCATTTGAACAGCGTTGTATAACTTGAGAGTGTATGTGCAGAATTACCCAGCAACTGGAGTAGAAGGGACAAGAAAAGGAATCATAAATATTTGTGTTGATAGTTCATATTTTTTTTCTAACCACAATTTTACCAGGTGACAGGAAAGATTTGCCAACATCACTGTTTCTCCAAGAAAGTAGTGTCCTCCCACACAACACCAGCCCCAGAGCCATAGGACCTGCTGAGTGGCCACATGACTTTTGAATCCTAATGTATTCTCTGAAAATGTGAATATGATAAAAATGCCATGTTTAAAACCACTGAGAAATTTTCCCAAAGCACAGGTGGTTTTGTACGTATGCAATTTGGGGGCTTGAGTTCAATGGGGTTCTTTTGGTCAGTTTTTGTATTTTTATGTCAAAATTGCACAGATGTGGCACTCTTATCAGGAAGGATTTGAGGTAGGCTCAGGCCACACTTACAAAAGTAAACAGAAAAAACGGGTATTCTGGTCACGTTAGGGTAAAAGCGGGTAATGAACATTCCTATCCCAAACACGTCAATTGTATTTTTTTCTGTAAGATTCAGATTTTCCTCAGTATTTTGTGTTTTTACATTTTATGGTTAATTTAATGGAAGATGAATGGGCATTGCAAAATTGTTCAACAACAATTACCTCATTCAGTATGTCCTGTAGTGCCAGAAGTGATGTCTTATCTAGTGATTTGCTACTCTAGAGGAGAAGCCCAGTGTGCTCCAGAAAGGTAGCTGTTATTCTGTCTTTACTTTGCTAAGCCCAAAGATTACCTGTTGGCATTCAAGGTGTAGCAAAGGGTGATGTATATTTATAAGTGTATTTATACCACTATACCATGTGTATATATAATATATTTATAACCACTTAAATTGTGAGCCAAGCCATGTAAAAGAACCTACTTTTCTAAGAGCAAAAAACAAACAAACAAACAAAAAAACCAAGCAAACAAACAATTCTCTTTCTGAAACTCTGCTTCATTAACACTTGAAGACCTCACAATGAGATCAGTGCTTGGGTCCCTCCCTGTCTGTCACTACTAGAGACTTGCAGAGGTGAGGACCACATAATGACCAAGGAGGAGGAGATCCGTCCATCCGTTTTTGTCATGAAGGATCATCGGAGACAAACGGCTGGGTTTCTATTCTGTCGTATTGATTATGTGGTCACAGAAATAAAGACCTGTTTCTCCACCACTGCACTGTCTTTCCCTCCCTCCTTCCCACATCCTGGCACAGCACTGTTCAGCCTGTTTTATGTAGTCAACAGTTTGTTCACATCCGCTGATGTCAGCTTTCAAAGAGAAGGACAATTTTTAAGTCATCCAGGGAAACACAAGAGCCTTACTTCCCTGTTCGCGTAGCTATCAGGACTGCCAGTCTCCGTCACCCTTTCTAGGACTCCACCCCAGGCCTCTCGTGCCAGGTAAGCACTCTGCCAGGAGCTGTGCCCAGCCTGAGAGGTGGCTTTGATGTATCAGTGTTTGGCAAGCGTACTTAACTGTAAGTAACCCAGAGCCTCACACTGACACCAAAGGCTTTTTATTCCCATGTGTTCTTGAATCCCCTGAAAGTTTTTTATAGTTATTTCCTGTTTCTCTTACCATCTATCTGTCTTTCCGAGGCCTCTTACATGTGAATATTGAGCCCACAATCTACAGTGGTTTTATTTTTTTTTCCTCTACTTAAAACTGACCAAAGTTATTGACTTTTTACTTTGCTAGACCAACAACTATCTTATGTTTACGTACTGGTTTACATTGTTATTTATGTGCTAATTGTCAAAATGTAAATTAAATATAAATGGTCGTGCTTTACCAACGCTTGTCTGGTGTCTTGAGTGAAGGGCCCCCCCTGTTCTGTTTGCAGTAGCACCGTCATGATGCCCTAATGTTCCCCACCTCCGGGGAGGGGACTATTCTAGTGTGATCTGATGGATGGCAATGATCTGGGTCTCATGACTCAACAGTATAAGATACTGCTATAAGAGCTGTGTCCTTCAAGAAAGGCAATTCAGACTAACAAAGTGTAGGGTAAGATCTGCTGACTTTTCAGACTTCATTTTGTGGGAGGACGTGAGTGATAAGATTTCAGACATTTCTTCCTAGTTCATGCCTCTGTGTGTGCGAACTCAGCCCCCGGCGGGTGGGAAACCCTGGGAAGTGGGTTCCAGGACACTGTCCATGATGGCATCAGAGTTGCTTTAGCAGCTAACAGTAGCTTGGGTAAGGAATCCCTGCATCCCACTTTCCCCCATCAGACCTTAACCTAGGAGGTAGATTTTCTACTTGTGCATTTAAAATGAACTCGGCAGAACCTGGGCATCGTTGGTGTGAGACGCGGGACTGTGATGGCATAACCGAGGACCCAAGCTTTAGGTGGTGAGGAGGAGTCTGTTCATGGACGTTCCAAAACTAACCTGTCTCCAGGGGAAAGGCACAATGAATTCTAACAAAAAAATGTTCCTTCTGAAACTTGAACACTTAAAACTGTCTGATCCTTTGTTTTTACTGTTTCTTCTTTAAATTCACTTAAACATCTGTCCCAAGAATTTGAAGTGCTGCCAGCATGTAACAGTAGAGTTAGGAAAACCAGAACACCAGTGTCGTAAATGTGCCGAATCATGCTGCTTATGCTCCTAAATTTTACAGAACCATTACGGTAATAATTTTTCAAAATGAAGCCCAGTAAGATCAGAGTATAACAGTTACGACTATAAATCAGTTTTTACTTTGCAAATGATGTCTTTTTGTCTTGAAAGGTACAGATCTTGAGAACACTTGTGGCCAGGCCTGGCCTGTGTAATGAAACATGACATGGAAGGTTGATAATTGCTATAAGCCCAAGTCCAGCAGCCAAAGTTCATACTGCTAGGCTGAGGTTTAGCAGTCATTTGAGGAGCACGCAACACTGAACAAGTCACCTTTTATTGGCATTTTCCTTAATTAAATCAAAGCCCTACACAGAAGTAATGCCTAAAATTCCCCACAAATCAATATGTAGGATATACAGCACCATGGGAGTTTATAGGCACATTTCTAGGTTTTTGGGGGGTTTTTTTTTGTCTTGGAGGAAATGAAATCAATTTCAGACCCATAGGTAGGTACAAGCTAATTTCTCTCTCTCTGTGTGTGTGTGTGAGAGAGAGAGAGAGAGAGAGAGAGAGAGAGAGAGAGAGATGCCTTCTCTTAGAGAAGATAATGAGACAAGGCCAGCAAAGAGGAATGAAGTAACAGGCACATGGCAAAGGGTTTCTAATGTAACTAGGATTCCAGGGTAATATTCTGGTCTAGAAAGGAAGGTTGTACCCCAGAATAGTGAGCTATACGAATGCTTAAAAGGAGAAAGCTTAGATCGAATGTCACTGAGCCAGTCCAGAAGACACTAGAGAGCTTTTTATCTGTAATATGCCTTAACTTCTGGTCAGAAAAAACCCAGCTCATTCTGAGCATCAGCTACCTTTTGGAGTTCCCTTCTCAGTAGATGGTGGTTACAAGAAATGTTCCAGCACCCGCAGCTGAGCCTCCCTCCATCACACCTTTTCTCAAGCTTCCAGGACTCAGAACTCCCAAGTCCATCTGCTCGAAGCACTGTGGACCCAGCTCCTTAAATAAATGAGAAGTGATTTAGTCTCAATACAGCCTTAATCAGGCCGGGGATTTAGTTCAGCAGCATAAGTGCCTGCCTTGCAAGTGTGCAGTCATGAGTTCAATACCAAAAAAAAATTATAATCATATAATTCAGGCAAAAACTAGAGCCAACCAGATTCCAAAAATGTTATTTTAACCAGATTTATGCAAATACTCTCTCCATTGCCCAGATTCACACAAAATTATAAACCAACAAACCCTCTGCTAGTTTGCTCTATCTTCTAGTTTGACAGATACAGAACCACAACTGGCTGTGTACACATTTTCTTTTCTCTGAATTTTGGATGATTTTCTTCTGCATAAATGTGAATATAGAGGAGAGGGGAAAAGAGGAGAGAAATGGGCTATAAAACGAGTTTTTAAAAATATATACAAGTAAACACGAATGTAGTCATCTTGTAGTTTTCTTTTACGTCTGCCAAGACAGACAGGAAGTGACAGCTAAGTACCAGTCAGTAATTTTGGAGAGAAACCCTCCGGTGTGTTAGTGTTTTGTCCTTATGGAATTATGGCAAAACTCGCCGTCCTTAGGCACCTGAAGGATTCACGTGTGGATGTAATAGATGACTGTTCTCTCTTGCCATCGAGGAGCACAGCAAAAGAAACAAAGTGAAACTCCAGCAGAGGGACTAGAGCTTAAACTGAAAAGACTACCTTGAAGGCAAATGACACGCTGACTCCTTCCATGGAAGGGACAGAGTTTCCTTGCTTGGAATCAGCTGGTTTGAAAGCAAGGGAGAGGGAGCTCTAATAAGCACTTTGTAAGTCTACAACTCGGACGTTTCTATCAACTTAGTATGTGGTTGTAGACCTTGGACAAGAGAGAGACAAAGCTTTGGTACCTAAGTTTTGTAAAATGTTCTTCAGGCCTCCTAAGAGATGCTATATGTATATTCAGACAAAGAGAACCTGTTCAACTCTGAGAGTCTGTGATATGAGATGAACTTTACTGGAGGTTTTAGAATATTTTAAAAATTATCATGGCTGAGAATACAGTTCAGAGGTGCAGCACTTGCCTAGCAAGTGAGAGGTACTGAGTTCAATTTCTGGTACCAAAAAAAAAAAAAATGTTATTCCACACTGGAATCCCCAGAGGTTCAGAAAGGGGATAGAATTATGGGCACAGTGTCACTCTCTCCTAGCATTACCTCTGACACTGTGCAGATCACACTTGAGGCCAGGCATCTGCTGTTACTCCTTGGGAAGAGAAGAGACCATTTCTGCCTCTGCCCCTCCATCAGTGCTGCACCTCTGGAGGACTGGCTCACAGCCATACAGGCAAGAAGATGATACACAACTCGGCCCCCCTGGCAGAACCTGCCCCCGTCCTAGTACAGTAACCTGAGAGTGATGTGCTTCCACGGCTTGCAAGGCTGGCGTGTAAAAACACACAAATGTGCAAAGTGGTGCTAGGAGCTCCTGTTCTTGTGGGAAATTCAGTGAGCCAGAAAAAGACAGGTTCGGTTCCAGTCCTGGCTCAGACTTTGGTTGATTCTGTGCTCTCAAGAAAGTCGTGGAACTTCATGGGGCCTCCACTTCCTGAAGAAATGAAGAATCACTCTAGATTATCTTTCTGCTCTTTTGGAAATATAACGCGTTTGCTGTGCTAAGATTCAATTGTTTTCTCTTACTTCCTTTGGAGCTCTGATCACTGTATCGGCAGGTAGGTGTAATTTAGAGAGCAAAAAGGGACAAAGTGGGCTGTGTGGAAACATCTGCTGGGCCTTCTTTTGGCAAAAGGGAGTGAGCTCACCAAAGTCCCAACCGGTCACAACTGTGCATTTCCCCAGGAATTAATATGTGCATCTGAAAGTTATCAAGGTTCTTTTAATGGAAGTAATGGGTTGTAGTTAAATCAAACCTCTGCTGCGCTTAAGTGCTGTGGATTATAAGATATTTAACTTAATGAGTTTCTGTTTCTCTTCTTTTTTTGTTTTTTTTTTCTTCTTTTTTTCTTCTTTTTTTTAGTAAACACACACTTGTAGGACAAGCAAAAAAGATTTAAGTTTGTTGCCCCAAAATATGGGGAGGATAGAAATAACAAGCAGCTAATTAAGAGAAAGACCCGATAACAAGACCCTAAAGGAGACGTTGAATGGAAACATTTCAGTTAGTAAAATAATCAAGGGCCTCGATACCGCTTTAACGGTTCTAAGTTTTAAAAAGGGAATAAAGAAAAATTCAGCAGAGAGAGGGAGGAGGAGAGAGGGAGAGGTTCAGCCAAGATAGAAACTGCGAGCAGATAGATGTGACAGGGGCTGAAAATAAGTGAAAAGTGAAAAATTGCTTTATGAATAAACCGTTAAAAACTAGTGAGTGAAAAAGCGATTCTGCTTCCAGTTATTACTGAATCACAAGCTTGTGGAAGCCAGCGGCTGACCTGAGCGGTGACTCCAGGCTTAACCTACATTGCAGCAGTTGGTGGCAGCAGTTCCTGTGGGCGGACACTGTTTTCTACTTGAGTGTTCAGTTTCATTGTGATTTCCCTCCATCGCAGACGGCGTGGCCATTTTGCCCCTCTGAGCACACAAAAGACGTGACTTGCTGGTCTGCCTGACCTGCTAACACTGCAGAGTAGGTGATAAGCTCAGGAGGACACAGTGCAGACAAGCCTGGGGCAAGGGTGAGGGCCGGGGGCAGGGAGGTGTCCTTCTGCCAGAGGAAGAGGCCGAGGAGCTGGTGAGGCCTAAGCTAATGCCTGCCTTGGCCTTTTCCTGAACGTGACAAGGTCATGTCACACTCGGTGTTCTTTGCCTTTCCTGGTGCTGTGTTCCCACAAGGTTATGGTGGCCCAGGCACGAGTGTGTCCTGGGCTGGGAGCTGAGTGACTGTTTTTCAGGAGCATACTAGGGCTCAGGTCAGATGGTAAACACAGACATCACAGCAGCAGCAGCCTTGCATACCTGAGGGATCATAGGGAGTACAAGGAAGTGAACCAGTCCTTCCAGTGTGACTCTGCCCTCCTCCCAGGGCCTCCACAAAGAGGCCAGTGAGCAATGAGCACAAGGGCTCAGGCAGCTCCAGAAGACAGGCCCTGTGCCACGCAGATGGGCTGGTGCCAAGGGGCACGAGCCAGGATCCATTCCCATCCTGAGTACAGAACACATTTCTATTTCTCCACACATCTAGTTTTTGATAGTATGCTCCACCGGAAAGGAGGTAACACA